AGTCACATATTTTTACAGTTTTAATTAAAATTATGCATGGACACAACTTCTTTCAAAGAAATTTTGTTCTTCACTCTATTTAACTAATTTGAGGTAACACAAGGTAAACCCTCATGATAAGGTAGTGTTAATCTAGATCGGCAGGCCAAGAATAACACTACCACCTTCATTAGCAGCTCTGTTACTCTATTAGAAGACAACAGATAGCTGTGACTCCCTTAGCAAAGCATGACTTGAAGGGAGCTATCTTTTGTTTAGTCAACTGGTCTATTTGGGGAGAAAAAAAACCCAAGCAAACCGGTACACATTTGGCAAAATGACAGCCTTCAATTTAGCACAGTTAAGCAAAATTGTGTTGACTTTAACTAAATTATGTTACTGAGTTAGACAATTAGAAAGAAAATGTGTTAATATCTGTAGAGAATTGGGGAGCTTAAGAAGAGGAGGGATGGAACAGAAAGAGAGATAGAGAAGGAAATACAGGCAGAGAGAAATAATAATTTCCGGTGGAGCCTTGAAGTGTTACTGGCAGAAAGGGAAGGGAAGACTAAAATGTACCATAAAAACAGTATCCCCTCTCTATGATTTTAAAGCCCACCAGAATTACGAATTTTTGTTCCTAAATTCATCTTCTGAAGGTGTTTCGTGTCTCCATTGAGGACCAGAACCAGTTTAGACCAGTTTGACTGAAAAATACTAATTCTGTAAGAGTATACTTCACAGTATTTATAAAACATTAGCCAGCTCAACTTTTTCTACAGGAGAAAAGCCTGATCAACGCAACTCCACCCAGCTCAACTCAAATTCATTGGAAAATGCTGTGTTGTTAAAAAATAGTAAACTGAGTGAAATGTCAAAGGTGACCTGAAACTGAGTGATCTTGTGGATTTATGTTTCAGTGCAAATTATTTACTTTATTCCAACTGGAAGGCTGCTTTATAATATCTCGGGGATATGTCTACATGATAACTCATTACTGGATATATTCTTGGGTGCAGAATTTGTACTGAGTACCAAAAATGGCTGGTTAAAACATAGCCTAGGCATGTCAGTGTTTGACTGAAGTCCCTACGGTTAACATACCCTTAATCACATTCCTGTAGAAACTGTGAAGCATTTCCTAGGCTAAAGCAAACTTGGCGGGGAGTTTTTTTTTTCCTTTTTTTTAAGCAATGATGTTAATAATGAATATGATTTTCAGAAGTAACTTGTCCTATGTCCTAACAGTCCTAAGTCATCCTGTAGGAAAGTGACAGAATCAGGCACAGAACTCAAAATTTCCAACATCTGGTTAGTGATCCCTGTTCAGGAGGTCACACTTATTCCTTCCAAGCGGTTTGACGAAAGGATAGGAGCCACATTTAGCTAACGGTTCTTGAGTCACAGGGAAGTCAGAGCAGAAGTGTTAACTGTAAATAACAACTTTACTGTGCAGGAAAGGATGGAGTGGTACCTTTCTCAATGCTTTTGCAGCTTTCAGTCAGGAAATCACACCCTCTCAACTGAAAAATAGTCACCTTGTTAACTACAAAGTTAGTTTTCAATATAGTGCTGGATATCCTATAGTGAGGATATCCTATGGCAACAGGATGAGCCTGGAAGAAATGGAGTGATCATTAAGTCTGTCTGAGTTCACCTTAGATTCACCCTTCACAAAATCCTGCAGTTCAGAGAACATTTCTAACGGGTTACACGGGAACAATCAGTACTTGCCAGCATGGTGTTTAGGGAATGATCTCGTTTACCTACATGTAATAAAGAACATCTCTGCAAGTATAACAGGGGTTTGGAAGGGTTATAGAACATAAGGGTTTAGAAACCAATGATACTTCAGATTACCTTCCTAAGGAATATATTTTTAACAAACATTTAAAAAAAACATAGAATATATTTTGCTGCAAGATGTTGAGCCTCACTTTCAATCATTGCATTAATCTGAAACATGGTATTCCTAACTTCCTAAAAATAAAAATTAGCACCCCCACCCCACTATTTTTTTTTTTTAGGAGATTGTAATAGACTCAACATCTCCACACACTGGTAATTAAAACTAAGAACCAAATGTACCTTTCTTTTCTTCTTCCTCTGAAAATACACTGCAGTAAACCATCTTCAAATAAGTAATAACATCATTATTATTATTTATAGTGGGTACATATGGCAGGTTGTAAATACTGGTTTTGCGAGCCCATATTTTAAAGTGATTTTTCAGGTGAGAGCACTGGTAGCAAATGAGCATGAACAGATTTTTCTGTATGGAACCATTATCGTACACTGAATGGAATAAAATTGGCAAGGGATAAATCAGGACTAAACCTGTTCAATGAAAGCAACTGATCTGGCTATTTTATTTGTGTATTGGGGACTTTTTTGGCTTCCATTTGTGTAGAAATTCTCTTGTAAGGAAAAATAAATCTTGAAATAAAGCTTTTGGCTTCTCTCCAAACCTCAGTGATTCATTTGCCTCATTTGACTGACCAGGCAACTGATGATGTCAATTTAGAAGTATAGGAGCCTTTTCTTCAAAAGCTGTGTGTTAAGTATTTTTATAAGTGTATTATCACTTGTTTTCTCTAAGCTGTATGTATTTTCTTGCATTATTTCCGCACTTAGAAGGAGCCAAATAAAGTGGCTGATAAGTGCCATCTAGTGGCTTTGAAATGAGTAGCTCAAGCTGGATAATGGCACACCATATTGTAAGTGTGAGAGCACAAATGGTTATGCAGCGGTCCTTTTCAGGACACTACATGAAAGATTAGAAACTTGGCAAACTTACAGTTAGAAACTTAAATTAGAAACTTAATTTTTGTGCTATATCATACATACAGGTTTCTATTTATAGTAGCAGTAAGACCTTTTCCACTTAGTGAAATGCACTGACATTTTTCATAGATAACATAGTCTAGTTTGTAATGATTATGGCTTTAAAAATCATTAATGGATATGATTAGCTATATTTTGTATGTACGAACGAATAGGTATATCTTTGGTGCATGGATCACGCACCAAGTTGCTTTTTTGGCCTTGGCACTCTGTAAATAATTTCATAGGTACTTCCTAGCAGCAAAGTTGAGTTTGAGTCATGTGTTAAAGACATTAAAATTAATTATTGTTATAAAAAGGAGAAAAGATGCTTTGTTTAGTGCACACTGTAATTCCTCCTTGGTTTATGCATCTATTACCTCTTTCTTTTTGCTCTAATACTCCTTACTTCTAATGACTTTCAGACCCCATTTCTACAGCAGCACGTTGTATAAGACAAAACCTCTAGCTTGTAGTCCCTTCTTCTTCTGATGAGTTATCCCTGTTATGGCCATCCCAGCCCATTTAGAGAGAGTCCCTACCTGCAGATGGTTTTTCTCCTTTATTTCTGATAGTGTGCTGTCATCCTAAATCTGAAAAATACCTTTCCAGTAAGAACAGACATTTCCTGAAGTAGGAGGAGAGAAGTATTGCCTGCAGATTGTGTGAAGGCTGGGTTGCAGCACACTCAACCACTGCAGGTATAATTGCCTTTCCTAGTTCTTTGAAAGCTTTCCCATTCCTTAAGGACTTTCCCATTCCCTAAGGGTAATCCTGAGACGAGAGGGAAGCAAGAGAAGAAGGAATTAAAACAGAAGACATTCTCGGTACAGCATTACTGGAAGACCTAATGAAGAAACCTAAAGAGTCCAAATCAGATATGACAGTGTTGAAGTACTTTAAATACATCTTAAGTCTCAGTTTAAAGAGATACAGTTGACAATTACGGGAGGTAAAGGGTCTGAACAGAACTCACTCTACGGAACAACTCGATGAGAAATTTAGGCTCTTATTCTGAAATCAATATGCAGAGAATTATCAGCTATTACTTAGATCTTGCTCCAAGATTTAGAGACATTCAAAAGCAGTGAATTACTTTTCTTTACCAGAGCATATGCACATTCTGTTGGAAGGAACATGGGATGGCCCACATAATTTATAACTCTAAAGCCTTGAAGTGTTGGGCAGGCTGTTCCAAAAAATACATCTTTTTTTGCTTTAGCCCACCATATGCTATTTTATATACTTCACACATTGCACACTTTCTTGAATTGTGTCAAATATAAAACACCCCAAAATTAAAATAATGATATTCACCAAATTAAGTCTGTTGTATTTGTGTGTCCCAATCAAATTCAATCGAGAGTTCACATCATATAAAAGACTGAGTTATTTATACTGCATATGATGTGACAAATACTTCTGCTTATGACAGAAGGACTTGAGCCATCACTGCCAGTCAGCTGCAGGCTCCTATTCCCATGGGCAGTTGAAGTGAATCTATTCTCCTTCATTTTGCAGCAGTCTTCATGATGGTGCTCAGTCATTTGCTGCACTTGAGTTTCGGTATCTCCTCAATGAAGAGGCAGCAGCTTCTGTTTGAGGAAGCAATAATACAATAGCTCCTACAACACAATCAGCAAAAGCAATTTGTCTGACTAGACTTATGATCACACTTTCAATAAAATGTACTAGCACGTGCAACAGATAGATAATTCCTGTGAGAGAAAAGATTTGAAGTTTAGATGATGGCTGCAATCAAATGACAAAACTATAGCATAATCTTTCTGATATTCATTTCTGAAAGAGATTTTATGATATACAAGAGAACAAAATCCAATTTGTGACCTCTTCAGAAGCAAAACTGAGTATATTTCCTCTTTCCCTCCCCCCCGTTTCTCATATCTTTTTACATACTCAGTGTTTCTTACAATAGTCTAGTCTGAAAATTATATTTAATGCGAGTAAGATTTACAACAGGGGGAAAACAAAAAACTCTTCACATTTCTACATATACAACATAATCTGAACACAACCCGGAGACATTTTTTCTTCAACTAAAAAACTAAAACATTACTAACAGCTGATTTTTGTTCATTCTGTAGCAAAAATAAAAAAAATTTTAATTACGGAATCACAGAATGGCCAAGGTTGGAAGGGACCTCTGGAGATCAGCTAGTCCAACCCCCTTGCTCAAGCAGGGTCCTCTAGAGCACATTGCGCAGGATCACGTCCAGGTGATTGTTAAAAAGGTCAGATGTCTCTGAAGTTACAACATGAACTACAAACGTCAATGAAGTGCAAAGCCTTTTTTTTTCTCTTACATATCTGGATGATGTGCGTTACAGCCATAAAACACTTAGCATCTCTTTGCCTATGAAGAACATTTCCCTGTTATCTGATAAGCCAAATTACTCATCTCCACAATTCTTAGAAGGCAAAATTCCTAATATGCCAGTGGATACAGGAAAAAGCTCATTACTCTGTTGGTAAGCACACACACACAAAATGAAATGAATGAATGGACTACAAATAAAACCACATGTCAGAGACCACTATATTTGATATATTCCTCACATGCACAAAAAAAAGGATATTTGGAAATATACTCCGTATTATTCTTAATCTATTCCATGATTTGAAATGAGATTACCAAAGATGCTGAATGATAGAGATTTACAAGGAAGTCCCAAGAAACATGAAGGAAAATGAGACTTTTTAAAAAAAAATTAGTTTTCTTTTTTTCCCCTTTCTTTTACAGAGGAAAAATAAACAAACTAACAAAAACAAACAAACAAAAACACTGGTAAGGGAAGGAATATTCAGTGTGCTTTCCACAATGGGGTGTTCTGGAGTCACATGACTCCAGGTCTGGATCAACTGTGTCACAGCAGAATGAATTAATAAAACTGTTATGCCTTGGAGAACAGCATACCTAACGTCTAACCTATCTGCCGATTCCCAGGCCCAGCTTGCGGGCAGTGGATCACTCTGCTTTTATGAGATTAAAATTAATCTATGAAAGGCTAGATATTCAAAGGATAAAATAATAGAAAGAAATGTCACTCTCAAAAATATATAGTATACTGCTTCTCCAATATGCAGGACAAATGTCACATTCCAACAAAGATCAGATCTGGATGATGTATCCCACAGCAGTGATGATTTTGAAAGCTCAAACAAAGAAGCATTTCTAAAAAATCACTGTTGCAGACAAACTGAAGCAACCATTGCCACTCTTGTTCTACTGCCATGGCCAAAAGTATACTGCCCTTTCTAGGGTCTTTTCTCCAGGTATCTTAAAGGCTCTACAGACCGCTTAAATCTCACAGTCTTTCAGGATTATGGAGACAATTATTAGCCCTGTGTTCCTGTGTTCCAGAGATAGGTACATGCCTCTCAAGTGCATATCTAACTTCTTCAGTAAAATATCGTTTGAAAGAACTAAACTAAAAGGTAAAATAATGAAAAATCCCCCAAACCTACTGCTTCCCCCACATCTGGAGGTCTGTTCCTGAGCACTGTCTACTGGGATGCCAGATCTCACTGCTTTTCAACAGCTAATGAAACATGAGAAATAAAAAACAGACAAATTGCCTTGATATCATTCCTTGACTTCTGCCACAAGTAAGAGAAAAATGATTGCAGTTGAAAACACCAGATTCCAAAGTCAGAAATGTATCTGGTCAAAGACTGGTTACTTCTAAACCTACATATGGCATAGCAGTAACTCTTTTTAAAATAATTTGGGTGATAGTCTCCATTCAGCCAAATCCAAAGACACAGATACATTATGCATTTCTGCTCTCTGCCTCATGCACTGGAGTTGGTATACACAGCTACATTCGCATTCTTCCTCCTCCTGTTCCACCCAAGATGCAGGTAAAAACATGTTATGAATGAAAGAGAGCAATCTTTGGGGAAAATTAGCGAGGGTTAATTCTGAAAATTGTTAAGCATTCAGACATCAGTCACTAGTAGCTACAATGCCTTGTGACAAGAGTATGTAACGTTGAAAACTAGGAGCAGAGCAGTGGGAAGTTGCTGCAGAGGTAGTATCAAAGAAAATCGAAAGTTCTTCCTAAAACTGATGGAAAAAAGAAGCAAAACTATCTTCATCATGTTTCTAAAAAGATGCCAAGCAGTTTTGTGCCACATGTTCCTCCTTAGTAGAAAAAAGTGTCTTCCAAGCTCTTTTAACACACAGCACTCCACTCCCCGAAAAATCTGCTTCTGCTTTCCAAAAAGTATAAGTACTGAATTGAAATGTCACATTGAAAAGTTACTGAGAACTATTATAAATAGCCCAGCTGGAAAAGCAATGCAGCATTTGTTGGTTCCACGTTCAATATAAAAAAATCTGTGGAAAATGTATTTCAATGGTCAGATAAAAGAGATCCAGCTCTTCCTCCTGAGAAGACAGAAATAAAAGTGGAATGCTTTCAAGCATTTATGGTAGATGAATAATTTTTAAAAGAATGCCACCATTATCTCCAATATGCATCACAACTTGAAAAAAATCACCATCCTTGTCAATTGAGTAGGATCAGCAGACCTGAAATGCTGTTATATGCTGAGCTGAAAGCCACTACTTACTTCATATAATCCATATCTGAGAGGAGACAAGGTCCTTATTTCCCATGAAATCAAGAGGAACTGGGTACTCACAGAATTTTGGCTAACATGATCTAAGTGGAGAAACTCTCTTGGATCCAAGAGTGAGAGAGAAATAGGAACATTTGGGTCTGTCTCTGGCAACCAAAATCGTTGCCCAAAAACACGGTGGTATGAAGAGCTAGCTGTTAATTTGAAGAGCGATTCCTGTTTCTGTTGCCAAAGAAGGCAGCAGAGAAGCAATGTCTTGAGCAGCAATGTCTTCAGAGTGCACTGAAGGCAGCAAAGCCTCGCGTAGCCTTGAGAATCTGCAAGGAACAAGGGACAAAAGATGGCAGGTGGAAAGAATGGCAGGGGACAAATATGAGTAGAAAGAAATAAAAATTTCTGGGAAGAAATCAAATCAAAATTAATTATGAGATTAGCCCTGCCCTTTCCTGACTTTACCTGCATCCAAAACCTAACATCTTCATCCCTATTTCCCTTTATAGACAAACACACAACAAAATAAATGGCCTATAATGTTGATTATATCCCAGCAGCCGATGTACCACAAACCTATCCAGTTTCTACCAACTTTAGCTCTGAGATTCTGTTTCTCCCCTGGCTTTGGCGATGCGTCACAGTAACCTTGGCTACAGGGCAGCTATTGATTCAAAATACAAAAGCAGTGTGGGAGAATTTCAATGCACAACAGGGTTATTGTGACAGGTCTAAACAGCCCCTGTTTCAGCAGCAAATACAGGACTCAAGTATTTGATCACCTTGTTAGATATTTTGCAGTGCAGTATGATATCCTCTTGTATTTGTCCATTAAGATGCAAATTAAGATATAAAATTAGTTAAGATGTAAAACCAGAGTGTGCACACAACACTCTTCTACTAGTAAATATGAAGCCTTTCATTTTATTCCTCTAAGTACCACTATTTTTCAAAACATTTTACATCTTAAAGGATGGTCACTGAAATTGCATATCAAAGCAATCACAGTCTTACACAAACAAATCGTTCCCTGTCTTCCTTATACTTTATTCTCCATGTTTCTTTCTCTAAAAGAAGTTTTAACACTGATTGATAGAAACTTTTCCAAATGACAGTGAATCCATCTAAAATGAATTGTGTAACTCTTCCTATTTGGAGCTCAGTTCTGAATGGAACCATTCATGCACAGCTGACTTCAAAACATAAGTTCAAAGAATCATCTTGCCCAAGACCAGAGTCTTTGTTGCAGAAGTGAGAAAGGTAAGAGTAAGCATTTAGCAAAGAACAAGCCCAAACCTTGGTTACTCTTCAGCCAGGTGACTGCTTTATCTTTCAGGCAATGCAGACTTTCTCATCAATGCCAAAGAACTACTTGATTTTTTTATCCTAAGAGAACAACTCAGCCAGAAAAGCCTGAGGAATAAAACCCTCACGTGACCCTCACCCTCAAGTTAGGCTATTCGCCTGGAAGGGGAGAGCACAAGGACACTGATGGGCCAGTTGTCTGTCTCTGTACCTCCCTGCACTGCGCATGCCATGCTTCCCCACTAACCGCAAGCACCTGGCTGTACCTCTGTAGGAGGGGAGGTTCAGACCTACAAATTCTCAGTCCTTCTCTTCCCTCCTCACCTACTTTAATGTTTCAGATTCACCAGAATTCAGTTTGAATGTATTTCCCAGGATCATCTTGCTGCTCTTCCCACAGCAATAAATCTTTGTGCTAACTTTGTACCAAGAAGCATGATCACACTTTCTAAGGCAGCTATGCCAGCTGGGTAAGAGGGGAGAAGCAGAGGAGAAGAATGAAGAATTACTAATATCGAATATGATCGAAGATCCGGTCCCCACCTGGCCTTTGGAAATCCTTAATCATTTTGGATCTGAACTGGAGAAATGTGAATGAGTTTATGCCTAGAAAGATACTCTCTTCTGACCACTCACTCACACGCTCTTGTCCCGTCAGTTATCTCTGTCATTCAAATTCAAAAGTTAACAGTGTTCAAACATTACAGCTGAGGTTTTCAAAGCTTTCAGCAGTGCCCTTATTTTATTCCACTTTGAAATCATGTTTAACTGAATCATTTCACTGTGAAAAGGAAAATAGACCAAATCTTGAGCATGTACGAATGTTTCACTATATAGTTTAATCCATTAATATGAAATACAATTTTAACATAATAATAACATTGAAAATAACTTTAAATAAACATATTAAGAGCATACAAAATAACCCTCAGTGTAAAAACCTATTTTTCTTGGTATAAAAAGTAACATTTTGCGTCAACAAAAGGCCACTGAGAAGGCTTTGTACTTTTATACAAGCTTACTTAAACATAAAGTGTTTTCTGAGAAAAACTTTACAGTTAGGATAATGTCCCCATAATGGAAAAATATAGTCTACTATGTTCAATGCAGTACGGGAAAAATCATCAGCAAGAAACAGGAGCGGTGATTGTGCCAGATTATTTGGCTGCAGGAACAGGAATATGCCCTAAAGCCTACTCTGTGAATGAAGACCATTTATCACAGTTATGTAAATACACTGTAGGAGGGAAAAGAATTTTGATAAAACTATTTTTATCAAAAAGAATTTGGACGCGGATCCTGATTTTCATGTAAATTTGGGCACAGACAGCGTCCAGGTGCAGACTTCAGTGTGGTTCTGCACATCTGTGCCCTCTGCTTTGAGCTATAAACTGTAACACTGGAGCCTTCATATGCTTTTGCTAAACCCACTGTCTATGTTGGGGGCTGCATTCTAGTGAAAATGCTTTATTTGAACTTGAACTTTTGATCCAGGAAGCAATGACATACATAAATTTTAGCAGAAAACCATTTTAAAAGGTAAGAATTAGCAGAATTAAATGGTAAATTAAATAAGACCGATAGCTAATAGAATATATTCAAAAGAATTCAAATATTCACAATTTATTCAAGAATTTTACCATTGGTCACCACAGTTTCAAAGGTGTTCATTCTAGATTACATTATCAATGAATAGCAATAAATATGACATATATAATCTATCTGTCTATAGGCCTCACTTTACAAAGCCAGGCATATAGAAGAGCATGAAGTGCAACATTAGGCTATAGACAGAAAAATCCTGCAAACGTGTTGTTGGTGATGAGCTCATATTTTGCAGCACATCTAGACTTCCATTCTAAAATCTATTTTCAAGCCCTTTTTCACTTCTGATTCAAGTAATGTGCTTGTTTCCAAAATGGGATATATATAGTGGAGTGTGAAAGCATTCTCTGAAGACTTTGTAAATCATATACTTAAAAGTTTTCCAATATACATTCCAAATACATTTATGTTTTACATTTTTCTCCATCTCAAAGTGATACTCTGCCTTGCCTATCCCAAGTACAGCTGATACGTGAATTCCAAACTTGCTCCCAGGTAATAGTGTTTAAATACTTGCAAACAGTGTTGTTCCAAACATTCAAAATATCTGAAATACTTTGTTTTGTATACAGCTGGGCCCACTGGTATGCTGGGTTGCAACATGTTTAGTAGCCTTTATCTAACTAGAAACGAGCATACTTGATGGAATAACAAACAATACTTTTATAGGATTTAGTGTACATCAGTATTTTGAAATATACATTATCTGGAACCAATGTATCATGGATCCTAAATAGTTTATCAAATCACCAACTGGACTAGAGATACAATTGTTTCATTATCATGTCTGCTTTCTCTTCACACATTTGTAATGAGTGAGTTGTTAGTATTAGTTATTAATATACCTAAATAAGGTTAATGTGCTAAAAAGATGAATAAATAAAGTTTCTGTGTATATGCTCATGTCCCTAAATCCACTTTTTATGCATTGTGCTCGTAAAAAGAATCCCAGTGGACCGTGAAATCTACCCTTTTGACCCTACATGCAAGGAAATGATTCTGAAAATTACTAAAATGTTCTATCAATCATCACTGTGTCCTTGATACTGAAGTGATCACAAGGAAAAACATACTCTGCATAAGTACGCATCTGTAACAGGTCTACAGCTTATGCAAAATGCCTTATTATGCAATAAAGAAAACAATTCATATTAGTGGTTAGCAAAGGTGATCTTGAATCTTTGTTAATTAAATTTTGCAAAGCGCTATGTCCACTAATGAGCACACAAGCTGATTAAGTAGAATTAGCTCTGGGTGCTCAATGGAGTAATATACCCTCTTTGAACTGCAGTGACAAAAGAGAAGTGTCCTCAGGGAGCTGCCTGCCTTCGCACACAAACACGCTCTATAGAAAGTGCCATGCTATTGCAGGCATGGAGGAATGTCACTAGGAAAACACAGGAAACCAAGCCAGGATTTGACATAGCTAAATTCAATCAGCAGACATATTCATTTAGATATGAGAGTGGTATTTCAAAAGCTACTGCTTTGTTACTGCCTGCTAAAAGCCCCTATGGCATTCTTTATGATTATTAGTGAAACAGAAATTAAAAGGCAACTGACCCGTACAGTGTTCACAGGAGTCACATGTTTCAGAGACCCAGATACTGCATCTGCATCGCTGTGTGATGAATGTCACGTACATGCCCAATTAGGATTTGCTTTGGAGTGTCACTATAGAGGAACGAAGAAAACTTGATGAAAATTCTTAAATCGATGTCACATCAAGAAGCAATGGTCACGTTTTCTGTTTTAAAGGACATATGATTGGTTTGTAACCTTTTGTTTAAGAAAGTCCAAACGATGATGACTCAGTAATGTTTAAATAGAAAGAAATGAATAAATACTGAAGTCCCACCAATTCGAAATGCCTCTTAAAGGAAGACATAGGGAATAGAGCATTGCCATAAATAGTTGTAAGTTGACTATCTCAAATTTTGAATTGTTACGCAGTTTAACACACAAAAGGGATAGCAACCTCGTAATGCCAGACAATGTAAATCTGCTAACAGAGTTATGCCTCGGAAGCACTGCTTCTCAGGTAGTATATTCTGAATTACTGTTTGTCAAAAAATACCTCAGTGCCCCCCACTGGTCTTAAGGCAAAGGCAAAATGATGGCAAATTTTCAGTGACATCAAACACTTCCATGGCTTTCAACAGCAGCCTATCCTAATTAGCACTAATTTCTTACTATACTGGTTCAGGCAGCAATTTGTCCTTTTGCAGCAGTCTAGTAGTCCAGGCTATGTGTGGCTAAAAAGAAAAAAAAAAAAGCCTGCTATTTGAAGATGCCCAGACCTTGAATTGTTAGTTGTAATCTTTTCTAAGATGTTTACCTGGTTGAGTGTGTTCCATAGGGTTAAAGGTTATTGCTGTTACACAGACACTGCTTCTGCCCAAGTATTTATTGTCACATAATGTGCAAGTCATAAGAGTTAATTTCATCCAAACTTTTCAAATTTTCATTTTTATATAAGACATGAAAAGTAGGTCATAATTTCTCCATTTCTTAACTCTCTTTAATAAATTTTATTTGCAAGTGTTCAATGACAAGCATTTAAGGAGCACTTGGCACCTTTTTCTTTTTCTCTCTAATTCTCATAGCTAAAAGACAAATGGTATCTCAATACACATGCTCCAAACACAAATACACACAGCTGTTTTGGGAAGAACTAGTCTCTCCTGTTATCAGTTTCCACCTGTAACTGTAGGCCATAACTTTCCATTCCTCCGTTATTGCTTTACGTTTACAGGTCCCATTTCCCAATAAGCTCCTGTGAAGTTCATCAAACTGGTGTCTGCACAGCTCTAGTCTCAAATATATTCTCCCAATACCGTCCATGCACAGAGTCATGTTTTTCACTAGCAGAGAAATGTTTGCTACTGCTTCTCTGTGCACAGTGTATAGCTAACTTTTTGGAAACCTTTTCCCCTGCTTCCCCAGATGTCATTTTCGCAAAGCTGAGTTCTGCACTCACCTCTGCAGAACCAACCACAGGCTGATTCTGTCCTAAAAGGTCCAAAACCTGATACCTGCTAGTGAAGGGCCCACCAGCAGCCTGAAGAGCAGCTGAACACTGGTCAGGCATAAGCCACTTCCATTAAAACTTTGTGAAGACCTTATTTAAAATCCCTCTGGAAGGAAGCCAAAAATTGCTATTGTTAGCTGGAATTAATGTTTTCTTCCCTAGGTTCTAACTACATTAGGGAGACACAAGCTAGACCTCTTTACACCAGATGAGCTCCAGCTAAGGCTGTCTGTCTTTATTACCGTCAAACTTTCCAGAATGAAGTGAACCTAAAATATAACAGCATCTTTAGGCAGACAGATGACAGTCTGGCCATTGAACTTTCATTCACAAAGGCTGTCCAAATAATAACCTTCTGTCTCCAGTCATGTTCTCATCAACAATGTAGTTTAACTTGATTTTAGGAGCATAAAATTAAATCATTCACAGTGGATAGATCTTCTAATAACAAGACACTTTTATCTCACAGGCAGCAACACTGTCAGTACTTGGGAATAATTAGGGCTAGAAATTGTTAATTTTGCTGTAAAGCAGCTGAGCGAACAATAGTGACTATTTAGAATAGACTGCAGTTAAAATCTTTAATGTAGGCTCAGTTTGTTTATTTTGAAAGCTCCACTGAGGTACGTGATGTTTTACTTTGCTAAATATTAATGTGCACAGAGTTTGAGGTAATTCTTGTTTTCTGACCCCTCACTTCCCCTTCTAGATCCAGTAATTCATATACTGTTTGCTCACTGGTGGTGAAAGCCCCTTCCATCTTTAGAGATTTTGGAAAATGCCATCACCTTATGGAATTTTTTAATATAAAATATTATTGTATCTTCACCTAAATTGAAGGGGAGGGTAGTGTGGGAAGCTACCATTTTAATAAAATACCAGAGTATCATAAAAAACCTATGGGAACGTGAAAGAAACGTAACAAGCAACATATATCCAGTAACAGGAGACTCAAAGTTAAGATTAACTTTGGAAAGTAAGAAACTTCGTAGAAACACTAACCTAGCGTTTTCTTCTAAAATGCATGGCTCCTATCTTCTTTCCTTTAAAGATGAAAGAAAAAACATATACACAACCTACTGTACAAAATTGTATTTGGCATGACATTTTTACATTTCTGTTATGAGTTGTGATGCTTTATCATCCCATTGGCCTTTATTTTATATAAATTTCCTTCTAATTAAGACTCATTAGGCATAAATCACCTTGAGTTTTCTTTTAAATCAGGTCCCTCATCAGGGTTCCATTAAAGGTATCCCATATAAGTAGTGTCTCATAAGCTTATCTTGTAAGGGAATGCTTTAAAACTCAAAGATCAAGTGAGTTGCCCAGGCCATGAAAAACCGGTTGCAGAGCAAATAAAAGTCCACGGATGTTTTGAATCCTAAGTCAATTAGAATATAGGTGTATAACAAGCTGTAACTGGGCTGGAGGTTCACATATTTAGAAATATTCTTATGCCAGACACATGATGTGTTAGACATGGCATTTTCTTTGTACCATAACAGCTCTTCAGGAAATGCTGTTTGCAAAGAGTTACTAGCATAGTGCCACAGGACACCCATAGTCTCTCTGGACTAAGGAAACTATGGTACCAAAAGAACATAGAGTTATTGTTGACTTAAATCCTGATCTGCTTACGGTTTGATCATTCACATATTTTTTTCATTGCCATTTGTGCAAGTTTCTGCATATTACCCCTGAAGGGTTTCCTGATCAGAAGATCACAGGGAGGGAGATTGACTGGCCTAACAATAGAACTATTTCATCCAAATTACTCTTCTCTCCTAGTTTTTTAGTCTTGCGTTATCTCCTGATCAACTACACCCACCAACAGTAATCACCCATTTCTCCTTTCCTGCTTCCCGCTGCCTGCCAGCTGTCTACTGCCTTCTCACCCTCTATTATATATAAATCAAGAAGAGGGCTACGTATCAAGTTCTGAAACAATGTGTAGAGCTTGGTAGAAAATTTAGGTGAAATAAAAAATAAACAAAAAAGAATAACTGTATCACTGTTGCATTTTATCTTTGCTTCAGAGTTTCTTCTGCTGGAGAAGTTATTTTAAACGATGCACAGTTCAACTCAAAATTTGTCTAAAAATGCTCATTTGGGGATGCACAAAGATTGTGTTGGGGATGCACAGGCTTTCATCCAAGCTCCGTGTCAGTTTAGTGTGAATCACTGGAAGATGGTATTGTGGTGCTGAGACCTGGACCACTTCTCAATTGTTCTGTGTATGTCCCAAGAACCATGCTGTTTTCAAGCTATCAGGGGGATGCAGCCATTGATCCTTTACTCACCCCAAGGAAAAAAAAAAAGATTAGGATTGTGCAACCAGTTTTCTTCAGGTGGTTCTTTTTTTTATTCAGGTGACTTTTTTTCCTTTTTCCATCAGGAAATTTTGTCTGAGCAATAAAAATAAAAACAGGACTTTGCTTGCTAGGGATAGTCACGTGCTCTAGGTTGGACCAGTTACTCTGATGAGGTTGCAAAATTACCAGAAATCCTAGATTAACAGCCATTCGCAGACCTGTCTTTACTTCCCATCCCATGCCGAGATTTTGCTGGACTGACTGAGCATGTGTCGTTTGTATATAAGCACCAAGTCTAACACACGTATGATGTATCAGAGTCCACAGGCAGCTGATCTGCAGTTTGTCTGACGCATACTGGGAAGTATCTGTACTGGATTGTCCACCCTCCCTGATCTCCACAGGGCATGTACCTGTATTTCCATCCAATGTTTTGTGAAAGAGTCTAGAGTGGATAAAACTCAGAATTTTCTGTATAGTAAAACCTAAGCAAAGTAGCAAAACTTTTGACTTTTAAAAAAGGAAGACGTACTGTGGGAAAATACAAAAAAAAACAAAGAGTACTCTTCCAAATCTGATCTCTGATCCTTTTTTAAATTGCACTGGTTGACCCAGGGGAACAGGACGCCCACTCTGACCACTCAACATCTGGGGTCCTGGGTGGCAGCTCGGCCCTTACACATAATTTTTCCACCCCAGGCTCTGCCTTTTACATGGTGACTGATGTCTGGTGTTTCCTTCTCTCCACACCCGCTAGAGGCCATTGTCTTAACTATTTATTGCTTTATAAATTAGACTGTGAGCATAAGCCATCAATGGCATTGCTAATCACACAGCCCCAGGCCATCTCTTTGACTTTCTCCATATCTAAGGCCAATTACTGGCTGCCTCGGGGTTCCTATCACCCTCTGGTCTGCTGCCCTAAATGTGTTACAGAAAGTGTGAAGTTAGCAACAGTTGCATAACAAGGTTCATCTGTGTTTCTTTGTTTTCCAGTTGATATTGGATTAGTCTCGCCAGTTACAGCTGGGTAGATGTAGTTAAGGTCTCATTTGGGTATGCAGTGCTTTTGGACAGGCTCATTGTAAACTTTTTTCCTTATATCCGATCAGAATTTCTTTTGCTGTAACTTGTAACATTATCTCTTGTTTTTTTTATTGTGCACCTCTGAGAGGGGTCTGGTTTTGTTTTCTGTAAAAAATCTCATTAGATGCTTGAAGACAGCAAATAGATTCTCCTCACCATGCTGGCTTTCTCTGCTGGCTCCTGGTCAGTTTGCCATTCAATAAACCCCAGCTCTTTTTCTGCAAAATGGCTCCTAGCCAATT